AGCAAGAGAAGGAGGAGGAGGAAGAAGAGGAAGGAGAGGAGGAGGAGGAGAAGGAGGAGGAGGAAGAGGAAGGGAAGTGCTCAGGTGCTAAGAATGAAAGGGGTGCTGACATCCAGGGTGGCTTTGCTTGGTGCCACGTGGCCCTGGGGATACAGGACATGAAGTGTTTGCCCCACAGCCTGCAGGAGTGTGAGCGAGTCCCTTCCATGAGCCAGGCTGGGAGGGCTGAGCCCACACAGGAAGAGAACGAGGAAATGCTGCTGGGACTGCCGAGGACCAGGGGAGGAAGTGTCCCTGAGAACTTGCAGCTTGGGATTGGTTGAAGTAGAAATTGTAGTTCATTCAGTAAAATTAGAAATTAATGGCAAAGTTATAACTTAAGACTTATGTTTGGAAATTTACTGTTAGCCTGAGTTTAAGAGGAAATAAAGAACATTAATAAATGCTTCTAATTAAAGGATAACAAAAACACTACATGTTAAAATGTGTGGAAAAGCTGAAAAAGTACTTTTGGCAAAATTATAATCTTAAATGTTTAACAGGAACTAAAAGAGGTTAAAAACCACCAGCTAACTGCTCAACTGAAGAGTTTGGAAAAAGAGCAATGGAACCAACACAAACAAACATCAGAAAAGGAAACAAAAATAAGGACAGAGATTAATGAGATGGAAGAAGAAAACTAGCAGTAGAGATGCACAGAACCAGCAGCTGGTTTGTGAAAGAAGATGAGTCAGAAAGGTACGCCAAGGGGAAAAGTGAGAAGCAGCAAATACGTATTATACACAATGAAATGGGAAAATAACTACAAACACAAAACATTTTAAAGGTTGTTATGACTAAATCCATACTAATGAATGTGACCCATAAAAGGAATAGCCGTCATTACAGAGAGCATTGCAGAGATGAGGGCTATGCCTGTGATCAAGAGCATGGAGTGTAATACTCTTTGTAATACTTTAAGCAATAAAAAAAAATATATGCTCAAAAAAAAAAAAGCATGGAGTCCCTCGCATCAAGGCTGATGTAGCTTCCACGGCCGCTGAAAGGCTGCACGCCAATTCCACACAGCATGCAGTTTCATCCGTCAGGGAGATTAACCAGCCATTTGATGGCATACACTATCTGAATTTTCAGTTGCTTCAAACAGCATACACCAGTTCCTTGTTCCATATGCTTGTACTGCAGTGCACACAGCATGCAGTTTCATCCGTCAAGGAGATTAACCAGCCATTTGATAGCATACACTATCTGAATTTTCAGTTGCTTCAAACAGCAAGCACGAGGGCTTTCTCTGGGTGTTAGAGCATAATTGATCTGCATGAGGTTAAGTCTAAATGTGGGATGAATTAATGCCTATTGGGATCGACCCTGAACCAATGACTGATGGAGTTAGTGGATACATGAATATAAAGAGTTTGTCATCAAGAATGCAAGTGAGGGTAGCCATTCACAAACCGCACTTGCCTTCGTTAGGATGACTGCGTCTTATAGAATCCACTAGTCTTTGGCTTTAGCAATGTCTGAGCCACATTTTGCTTTTACACTCAGGCTGTTTTGTCCTCTCTGGTCCTATGAGAATCTGTTTTACGCAGTCCTTGCTCTCAGTTTCAGAAGTCAGCAAAGACACAATGAGGCCCACTTGCCAGTTAAGGCCAATGTAGTCATCGGTCACCCAGGACCCAGGAAGACGAATCGGGGTGCTGGTCAGCGCCTTCTTCACCATCTCTGACTGCCAGGTGAGGGCGCTGTCATCCATTTTCAGGTGGCGCCAGAGGATCCACAGCTCCTACACTGGAGCAGAGCCCTAGGGGATTTCACCATGTCACCCATCATGAGGTCCACGTGGGGGTCTCCTTAACTGGAGACTGTGGATGAGCTTCTCCTGGCCACTGAGCCACTCCTCTTGCTCCAGTTGCTGAAGCTGTCATCCATCGGCAGTTGTGTGGCCACCTCTACAATGACAAGCCGGCGTTCCAGCTCCAGGATGGTGGTGGGCTTGGACGGTGGGGTCTCACCGTGGGAACAGCACGCACCTGCGGCTGGAGTCCCACACTCCCTGCGAGGCCTCCTTGCTGCGCAGCCAGTTGTCTTCCACACCACCACTGCTGCCACCACCTGCAGTGCACCCCTCTCCCTGCTCGGCTCACCACTGGCCCACTCCTGGGCTCATGTCATCTCCTTCCCCTTTTCTACAGTGGCTCCCAGACCACGGCCAGAGGAATCACCTGTGCCTTTTACCTGCACCCCCAGCTACTCCCATGGAACTAGGAAGTGCCCCCTTCCAATTCCAGATCCCACCTCCCCAGCCCCATCCCTGGAATGCAGAATCCCCCTTCCATCACACGCAGCAGAATGTTTCAAAGACACCCAGGGTGAAAATCCACGAAGACCACCCAGATGAGAAGAAGCAGAGGCTATTTATCAAGCACTTACTGTGGCACAGGGGTCAGCCAACATCTCTTGTGTTGGACAGAGACTCCAAGGCAGGCCGCGAATGGGAAAGTGTGCGCTGGGAAACGGAAGAAGGGGTCAGGTGGGCCCCTTCTTAAGGCTGTTGACCTGGGGAGACTGGAGGTGAGCATCCTGTGTGATGGATTTGGAAGACTATTGGGCTATCTCTGGTTGGTCCTGAGCTGGAAAGTGCTCCCTTCCAATTCCATGGAAGCATGGTGCGTGGCAGGGCAAACATTAAGGAAGCTTGCATTTGTTGATCAAATTTTGGCTGTTTTGGACTGGTTGCTGCAGATTGTGGGGCAGAGTTCTGTTTCTATATGTGGTCTGGCCGTGATCCCACTGTCCCTACCACGCATCCCCTTCTGCTTCCTCTGACCACATGCACCTTTCCAGGTGAAAGCTGTCATGGGAGTTCTCAATAGGATCTAACCTTTCAGTGTGCTGGGGCTTAGCATTTTTCCCCGAGAGCAAAAGCTTTAAGTGCTCGCATCTGGCACAGGCAGCCTGTGACCATGGCTGTGGCTCTTAGGCCTTCAGTCTATAAGGCAGATGGGCAGCTGAGCGCTTCGGTTTTAAAATTGTGATCCCCCCACACACTGCTGAATTCTGTTGCAGTACAATGGTTACCAAAACCCATATATTACCTATATTTTCATCACATTCTCATGAATATCAACTGAAAACTGAGTGTACACCATGTGCAAAGCTCTACCTTACACACGTGGACAAAGTCGGGTGTGGTGGACATTCTGTGGCCACAAATTTAGAATGAAGCCAGTTTCTGTATTCATATAGCCTCCCAAATTCATTTCCATTGTGGCCTTTTCCTGTGCCTGAAATTTCTCCACAGTGTAGGGAAATATGCAAAGCTCTGACACCCAGAGCTTTCGAGCATCTTGCAAAATATTCCCCCAGTGAAGCATGATGTTTGTCTCCATCTTTACTCCCTCCCTGTATCTAGTTAGCTGCAATGAATGGTCAACGGGTGATTCATTGGATGCTATTTAGTTTGTTCTGTCAGCTGTTTATTAATCTGAAACTTCCTGTTAAGAAGCAGGGTGTGCTTTTTAAGGAAACCTTACACAGCATAAGTTTTATTTTGGGACTGGATGTACTAATATATAAAGAGGGATCTGTGAAAGTCACTTAGTCCTGTACATAACCTTTTTTTGTTTTTCAGCAAAATTTTGTGGCCACTCACTATGCGTTAGGCACTGTTCAGTGCACCGGTGGTATGGGATTGAATGAGATAGTCTCAACATCTAGAAGTTTGCCATCTACTCCAGGGAGACAAGTGTAATAAAGTGTGGTAAGTACAACCACAGTTGTACAAGGTATGATGGGATGCAAAGGAGGAACTGGAAAATTCCAGGGGAAAGAGGAGTGAGAAAGTTTTTACAGAAGAGGCTCTAGAAGGGAATTTAGGAAATATTTTCAGTGGGTGGATGACATGACAGGGATGTCACAGTTTGGTGACAACGGAGGGGGGCATATTAGATAAGGAAAAAATGATGAAAGTAGGAAAATTATTTGAAAGTTACGTAAGAGGTTGTTGGAATGTTTTAGGCAAGAGATCATAAGGGCCTAATTGAAGACAGAGTTGGGGTACGGAGGAGATTTGATAGAACTTTTACTTGTACGATAGGATGAGACAGTGGGAGGTGAGGGAAAAAATGAGCTGAGTGAAGGTTTTTGTTTTGGAGCACTCGGTAAAGTATGTTACCACTAGATAGAAGGGAACTTCATTGCCTATGAAGATAGTGGGTTCACTGTTGGACCTGTTGAAATTCAAGCGCTACATGGGGGCATCATTCATTCATTGGAAATCCAAGTTTGTAGTTTGAGAAAGAGGCCTGGGCTGGAAATACAGATGTGAGCGATATCTAACAATTTGGAAGTATGATCCTATTAAAACAGATTGTGTTTTCTGTTTATGGTGCTTGACAAAGGATGAGTGCTCCCAAAGTCTGTAGTGTTGATTTTCAGGTAAAATATAAGTGGATCCCAGATGACCGTGTTTTTCTTTAACGGTGTCAGCTTTTAGGTTGAGGGTTGGCCATATCAGGAAAGGGAAGAAAGTAGCACAAAGTAAAAATAACCTACAAATTAAACTTTAGGATGTTCACATCAACATTGAAAGTGTTACTTGCCTTTTCAGGATTAGAGATTTAAAAGACATTCTGATAAACTATGGGAAACTGTATAGTTGTATTTAATCTTGGATGCTGTAAAATGAAGGTTCTTTCCCAACAGTGCTTTACTGGTCCCTGGGAAGTTGGTAAAAATGTGAAAGGCCTGTCATCTTTTACTACGCAAAGTGGAATTTACAAGAATATATTTTTTGAAATATTTATCATTTTTTTATAAAATTGTTATTTGTGCCCAGAAATCTAACGTAAACCTAAATCTAAGTGTAATACTAATACTAGTTCTACTATAAATCTATATCTACACACCCAAATCTATACCCAATTTTAAGCTGAACTTTAACTCTAACATTAACCACAAACCTAATTGAAACCCTAACTTGAAACCTACATGTAGCACTAACCCTAACTCTATCTAGCCTTAACCCTATTTTCTTGTCACTAACCCTAACCTTAACCCTAGAACTGGCTTTTTTAAGGGTATACCTATTATGGGGGAGATGTTCTTTAGGTCTGTAGTAACTAGATAAACAAAACCGAGAAAAGAATTTCAGATTGAGAAACTTAGAAGAGATGAGCAGATCATCTTTAATGACATATCATGATTAGGTAGCCTGAGCTTTCTGATAAAGATATCCAAGGTCTGGGTATTATTCCTGGATGTCTACAGGACATCTTGCTTCTGTTCTCTGATTTTAGAAAGTGGACCTAATAAGTGTTACTGTGAAAATACAGTGAATGTCTCTGAGAGGCAAGATCCAAATTGAGGGTACATTTTCACAAAGGTATGTGCTAACCTTGATCCCAGACTCCCAAAAGTATAAGATACTCCTGCTCCAAAGCCACACAGTAGGCTGCGACTCTCCTATTAATTTCTAAATCCCAATGTGACCCAAATCCAGACCTTATCAGCTAGAACTCATCTAGATTGGACCAGTAATCATTAGGACAATGTGCAGCATTAGGTTCTGGGATTGTAGAAGTAATATAAGATACCGTGTTCCATTCAGAGACTTTACAGCCAAGCTGAGGAAAAATGACCAACATACATGAAACAATGAGAGAATATGATAGGACAGAACAAAATTCAGTGCTGCATTATGTGGTATAGACAGGGACAGTGAACTAGTTCTAAGTGTGGAAAATATTTTCTCTAGCACTAGCAGCTTACCAAAACTATGTAACATTTATTTAATCCTTTGTAGGACCTTGGGAAGTTGATATAGGACATTTATAAATGCATATGCAGAAATAGGCTAGAGGGGTTAACTATTTCTCCACATCTCCCCCAGCAAAAGCAGAAAAGCAGAGTTTTGAACTCAAGTTGGCCAACTTCAAATGCAATGGGAAGCTCACTCTATTTCATGGAGTAAATGAGACTTGAATTGGGCCTTACAGGACTGAGTAAAATTTAAAGAGATGAAGTGAAACAGAAGAGTATTTTGAATGGGGTAAATACTATAAAAAGAAGCCAGGAAGCCAGGAATAGGATTAGTGAGCAGACAGAAAGGGGAGTGGATGAGGTAAGATGGGATGGGGAAAATGGGGCTTTGAGAGCCAGGCAAAAGTGTTTATATTTCATCTAGGGTTTCACTAAGAAGTTAGTGAAGTTTTTAAACAGGATAGTGGCTTAAAGGAAGGTCCATCTGATAGTGGTGCTCAGGAAGGAGTCCAACAAGGAGGTCCCAGAGGCAGGAAGGCCATCTAGGTGGCTTCAGGGTGTGGCTACCAGCAAGGGCCTGGAATGGGTGGCAATAGTATAAAACAGAAATAAATGGTTTTGTAAAAAAGGCAATTCAAATAGATCATCTCAAGTGTTTGATTAAGCCTGAGAGATGGAGAAAGAAAAAAAAAATCAAAGAATTCCAAATTTGAAAAACAGTCTCTTTGAGATAGGAGTTTTTCAGCTACATTATAATCTTATGGGACCACCTTCCTATGTGCGGGCCATCATTGACCAAAATGTCATTGTGGGACACATGACCGTAACTAGTTATGTGGCCTTAGGCAAGCCGTAGAATCTCTCTGGGCCCCTCGTGTGAAGAAACTG